AAAAAGGTGATCCGAGGTGGTTTCAGAAGAAAGCCTTGTACTGGAGACGGCAGTAGGAAAGTGCTTCCAGGGACAGGAACATCACTTCTCCACTCTCCCGCCACCACTTCCTGAGGAGCTGAAATCTCCCACTACAAAAAAAAAAAAGTTAAAGCATTAGACATTAGACAATAAGCCATTGATTAAGTTGAGGGGAACCAGTAGGACCAGGAGAAGCAGGCCCAGCCAAGTAGAGGGGCTGCACACAAGTTAAAAGATGAGTGAGCAAGACTGTCAGGGTGGGCCTCCTATCCTGGAAGAAAGGTACACTTAAAACTGCTGCGGTCCACATGTCGGATATGAATGACCACTTCCATATGGCCTACTCACATAGTCAGAACTTTATGAGTGGCATCCTCCGGATTTGCCTGAGACGTCAACATGACTTCACGAATCATAGATGTCCAAGTATCTGCAACCTTAACTACTCCAAATACAAGCACTACTTAGAATGGCGAATATAGGAACCGAATGTAAGAGAATTGTTCTGAAAACTGGGGTATAGCTGCTGGATGAGCCAAGAAGTAGGATATGGAAAGGGTATGACTCGAGAAACTGCAGTAAATAGTGAAACCTTATAAAAATCAATATTCAAATCAGTATGAAAAGACGTTCAGATAAAGGCTGGGAAGACAGCTCAGTTAGTAAATGGCTTACCATAGAAGGATCAGGACCCAGGTTTGGAGCCTCAAAACCTGTGTAAAACCTGGGCGGAAAAGGTAGCGACTATCTGTAGGCAGCACTACAGCAGAGGAGGGGTGGAGCGGAGAGAGTCCCGAAGCTCACCAGCTGAAACCAAGTCAGTGGGTCCCCAGGTAGGGGAAAGGGAAGAACAGCTGAGAAAGACAGCTAACATTGACCTCTGCCTTCCACACACATGTGCTGGAAGGTACACCTCCATCCCAAAACACGCCACCCAGCCACATATCACCCCCACATACAGCACACACACACATACACTCACACACACAACACGGATGGAAAAATACTAAAGTAATAGCAAATACTAGTATATGCATCTCTTTGGCTTTTGTCTATGTTTTCTAGAGCTTTCTTATACTGCTTATATAATGACTTTTTAATCTAAAGAAGCCTGGTTGCAAAATGTGTGTCCTGATCAAGGCCGAGCCAGAAAATGCCCTAAAATAAATGACGACCGTGTTTGTGTGTTTGTTTCTGGCATTGCAGCTTGGCTTTTCTTCCTGATCGTATTTCTGTCTGTGTGGTATATTCATTTCACTTGGTAAGGCTGCCTTCAGTCTCCTCTCTGGGCCAACACTTCTCCCTTATTCCCTGGATCTGTGGGGTGCATTGTGATGGCTGCTCACTCATTTGGCTGTGCCTGGGTCTGGTGTCTGGGTAGTGATTCACGTTTGTTCCGAAGCTGTCCATCTGTGCTGGATGCTTTGAAACAGTGCCCCAGGGATCTGAAAGACCATGTGTCTTGCTGAGACACCTTCTTTGCAATAGAGACCTCTTCCCTGGCTTCTTCTGAATTCCAGCAAGCTCTCTTTTGGGTTTAGACAGTAATAAAAAAAAAAAAGAAAAGAAAAGAAAACCAAAGAGGAAAGAGTTTCTGTAGGGAGGAATCTAGTTCCGGGTCACCTACCAGATGTGCTTAGTAAGCTTGACAGAGCATCCTCAGGCCCTCACTTTCCTGCTAGTGTTTTTGGGGACTTGGCCTCTACACAGCATGGATGCTGATAGTGGGAATGAATATATATTAGCCCTAATAGAAACCTCATGGGAAATGTTCTAAGAGTTGGTGGGCATACTAGCTGCAAGAGATTGGTGCCGGTACAGAGAGCAGTGACGGTCACAATAGTCAGTAGTACCGCATGAGCACTGACCACAAGGCCCAAGTTGGAGATTACCTAGCATCCCAAACAACAACACTTTGGTCCGGCCCATACTGGAGCCTCTAGGGCAACTGGATATCCACTGTGTTCTGTGGGTTTATTATTGAAAGACTATAAAGATGTACACCAAATGAGTAACAATACAATTACACATGGAATTTAAAAGTTCACTCCACTCTTAGGTTCATCATCACTGGCTGATGCCAGTTTCACCTTTGAAGAACCTGCCCTCTTTGCCGTTAAGAAGAGTTCAGAGGGCTGGAGAGAGATAGCTAAGTGGTTAAGGTTCCAGCTGCTCTTTCAGAGGACCCAGCACCCACCTGATAGTTTACAGCCATCTATTACTTCACTCCCAAGGGACCCTGAGCTCTCTTCTGGCCTCCAAGGGCACTAGGCATACACGTGGTACAAGACAGAAGAATAGGCCATACATATAATGTTTTTATTTTAAATAAATGTTTTTCTAAAGAAGATCTCAGAGACAGTATCAGGACATACAGATCGTAGGGGATTTGGGGGGGGGGGCATCCAAGGATCCTGCTCCACAAAGCAACTGTACAGTTACTCTACAGCTGGTAGAGTTCTCACCCAACCAAGTTCATTTTATTTTCACTTGTTACAAAGCCTGAGCCAGGCCAGCTGGCAAGAAAGCAAGGGCAAGGTATTACACACCTGCCTGCAGCCTTGGAACGTTGCCCGTCCCGCACCACCGGGCTTCTGAGAAGGGCCATCTGTGGAGTCTTGTAAGCCCTGGTACATAGTGGTACATATTAGGTCACTGTGGCACCTGCTCGGCCTTTCCCCAGGGATCCTCCTGCGTGGCTTGCTCTCAGAGCTTGCGTGGAGTCTAAAAGCAGCTTTGATCCACGGTCTCTGTGGTGGCATTCCACTCCTGCATTCTGCCATTGCTCCTCCTGCTGCAAGCAAAGCAGCAGCTTCAAGGCAACCTGCTGCCTCCTTCCTGTTTATTCACAGTGGCACTCGGTGTCCCCTGAGGATCACTCGAGAGTGGTTGTAGACTGACTCTTACAGACCAACTACAACTTTGGGTAGAAAAGAGACGGCATTCCTTTATCCGGCATGCCATTCTGAACTAATGGCGAGAGAAACCTGAGAAGCCCAAGGCTGTAAAAAAACGTGGCTTCTATCTGGCAACCAGAGTGGCTGTCCCTCCTCTGTGGTCTTTGTGTGGCTTCAGTGGCCCATCACCAAAATGGTTTAAAAATATGAAACGGAAACGTCTAGAAATAAACAATTCGTGAGTTATTGATAAATTTTGTTACAATATTTATTTAATAAATTCTTGTGTGTGTGGTGTGTGTGTGTGTGTACGTGTTCAGGTAAACACATACGCACTCATGCTTGTGCAGGATAGAGGGCCACATTAGATGTCTTCCTTAATAACTTTTCACCGTGCTTTTTGACATAGACTGTATCAGCAAACTTGGGGCTCACTGATGTGCATAGACTAGCTGGCCAGAGAGTTGTCAGGATCCGTGTCTGATGTGGGATGTCCCCCCCACATCTGTCCTTCTACAGTGTTGGGATTGCAGGTGTGCCTGGTTTTCCACTTAGGTGCTGGGGCTCCAGAATCAGTTCTCTGTGTCTTCACATGAAGAATTTTATCGGCAGAGTCGTGTCTCTGTTTCTACCTTAGAGTTTTAGAATCGACTCAGTGTTAGTCAGTGTGAACCTCTTACCCTTACTGATGTTCAAACTTCATCACCAGTGTACCTGTGTAGAAGAGAACACTATGTACAGAGCTGGCTGCCATCTGCTCTTTCAGGCATCTGCTGAGGGTCTCGGGGTGTGTCCCCTCCAGCTGAGTGACTACGGGCAAACCAGTAATCTAGCATGTTTCCGTAAACAAGATATGGATTTTTTTTTTTTTGCCTTATTTACCTTCAATGTAAAGGAACTGGATTACATAACTTATATAACTTGCAGGGATATTAGGATTAAATGAAATAATATATCAGAAAGCACCTTGTAAATTTAAGAAAGAGAAGCAACAAAAACGACAACAAAAACCACACAAAGAGTAGGTTAGGATTAGTGAGGGGATTGTGGCAGCTGGGTAAACATAATCGAAGCTGACTCTTGTGGTTGAACTGAGTGAGAGATGATCGCAGTGCCGTGTCCCATGCCTCTTTCACAATCTCTCTGCCAAGCTTCAACAGGGGAGCATTGAGTGTTTGGGAGAACCTGGGGGAGGTGGTTACTGTCCCTCTGAGGCCAAGGGGAGCCGTGTATGCAGAGGAAACACATCTGGAATGGTCAAAGCACATATGGGAAAGACATGCTACTCCAGGGTGGTAGCAGGATGGGGGCAGAGACAGGTTCAAAGTCCACAGGGCTCCTGTTTGTGTTCAAGGTAGGAGCTTTCCAAATACCACTGGGCCCGAGGGCACCTCCCTGAGTGAGGGCCACTGATCAGAATCTCCCCGGCACTCTTCGGCCAGACTCAATCGTGGTATTCTTCTCCAGAGGCCTGGCTCTGCAGCCTGGGCCAGTAATTTGGTGTTATCAGATTAATTAAGTCATTTATGTGGCTAAATTTACATATGAATATTAAATATCAGGCAAGGCCTCTCTAATCAGACAGTGAGTGTTTTCAGGATAACACTTTGTTCCCAAAACATTCAGAAATATGCAAATTCTGTCTTTAATGAGGCTGATATTTATGTGAGGAAGAAATCTTGCAGCTAGGAAGATTCACTCTCGTGATATCTTCGTCTGGCACCTCAAGCTATGCTAGATGCCCCCTCTGGAGTTACTCATTAGCAACAAACTTTTTTTTTTTTCCCTCTCACCTGCTTCTCATTCTGAATTTGTCACAATTGGTCACGCTGCTGAGAGGTCATGAATTTTGCCCTTTGGTCCAAATTTTGGGTTACTATTGATTGACAGTAAACCTGGGTAATGAGTGAAGTTTGGTAGAATTCAGCTTCCTCCAGACAAAATGGCAAGGATTGCAACCATCTGTGATGCTTTGCCAGAAGAGCCGGGCCTGTGGTGCCCGCCGCCTGGAAATTCTCTATGTATGCAAACTGTCTTCTGCAGTTCTCAAGTGACCAGACTTGTCCCTGCTTTCTTTTATAGCTTCGATGTGGAAAATGGCCCTTCCCCAGGTCGGAGCCCGCTGGACCCTCAGGCCAGCTCTTCCTCCGGGCTGGTGCTTCACGCCACATTCCCTGGGCACAGCCAACGCAGGGAGTCCTTCCTCTACCGATCCGACAGCGACTATGACTTGTCACCAAAAGCGATGTCAAGGAACTCATCGCTTCCAAGCGAGCAGTAAGTAAAACTGTTCCTGTTCCTCTCTGGGTTTCAGTCTCGCGAATAACCTCATCCTTAACCCTACTGCAGCAGCGGCAACAACTGTTGCCAACCCAGGGAAAGGAGAGAAAACTGAAAGAGCGACAAAGACATCCATCTTCAGGACTTGCAGAATTTTGACGGGGATCCTAAGGCATACAAAGAAAACAAACCAAAACCCTCACACACAGCGTTCAGTTCACATCTGTTATCTGAAAACTTTTGTTGGGCTTATTTCCCGAACTGAATCATTTATGGGATGAAAAACTTAACACGTTTCACAAACCACACTTGGATATGTGGGCGTATGAGGCTTTGGGCCAGAACAAAAATGGTGGTTGGTTGTCTGCATTCTCACTCAGTGGCCTTTGTTCAGGGGCATTTAACTAGGCTGTCATTCAGCCACATGCCTGTGGACCTTCTGTGAGATTTTAACATCATACCCACCCACTGCCCGGCTCCTTGGTGAGACACAGAACAGCCAAAGCAAGGCGATATCTTTGTTTTGCTGATCCTAATTGCAGATAGCTGTTTTTTATTTAAAGAATGACAACTGATTCGTGTTGCCTGTTTATTAAATTTCTGAACCCAAATAAAATTGGTTGCTGAAACCCATGACTTAAAGGGTTTATGGGCACACACTAATTGGTTTTAACATTGTATGTTATAAAAGTATCGAAAACTCCCTAAAATGTCCAGTCTGGGAAAGTCCACTTCCTTCTCGTTTTCTGTTAAAAATGAACCCAAAAAGATTTACCTTCTCAGAAAAAGGAAATGTTTTATGACTGGCAGCAGAAAAATATCCTGCAGGGTCCCTCTGCAAGCAATGTTAATAGAAGTAGTCTAGCCTGGGGACCAGAAAAGCTGGCTCAATTGTTAACAACACTGGCTCTTACAGAGGACTTAGGTTTGGATCCCTGTGCCCAGATGGTGGCTCACAGTTATCTGCAACTCTTGTTTCAGAGGATCCAACACCCTCTTCAGGCCTCTGTGGGCATCAGACATGTGTATGGTGCACATATATACATGCAGGCAATCACTCATATGCATACAAGAAAAGCAAAAGCAAATAAATCTGCATTTTTTTAAAAGGTAGTCTATGGGCCTAAAATATTCCAGTCATGAGTGGGCCAAAATTTGCATTTCTTATATTTACTGATTCTCCCATATATACTGTGCAGTGTGATAAAATTTGGGGATTTAAAAAAAAAATGAGTGAAACAGTACGAGACACCAGAGATGGGTTCAAACAAGAGCGTGTTCCTCAAGAGTCGGTGTCTCCTCAGGGAGACGACACTAATTGGCGATGATGCGAGGGTCACACACAGGCGCACTAAACTCCACAGCACGGGACACAACCCACATTGAATGAGCATGTGCCGAGGGCCAGGTTCCTTTACACGTGCTACCTGTTAGCCTGACATCCAAGCCGTAGCCACTGCCAAACCTACACCGTCTGGATTTTATCATGGGGGAGCAAAGGAAATGCAGGGAGCTCCAAGTAGACACAGACCCATTCCCACGCCATTTAGCAAACAGACGGCTAGCTTTGGAATATATGTATCCCCTCGATTAATTCTTACCCAACTCATTCCCAAACTCACCCCAAAGCTCACAGTGAGTCTCCAGGTCACTCGGCCTCTACAGAACAGGCTGATTAAACTCGAGGTGAGATTCTCCTGTTTCCTTGTGTGAGATAAATCTATAGAGAGAGTTTAAGTTTGAAGATAATTTAAAACTTACAAGCCAGCTTAGTCTCCAGCTGATGCAACTACAGCTCAGAGGATCTCAGCAGCCAGCATCCTTGCTGCCAATTTTACCTCTTGGTACGTTCACTGACCGGTAAAAAACCTCCTCCCAAGTTTACCTGTACAGTGTTGCCAACTTCAGTTTTAGAAAAGCAAAAATGTGTGAGAATTATCTAGCGTCATTATTCCTTTTTAGCTTTTGGATTTCTATTAATCTCCCCTCCCACCCTGTGTGTGTGTGTGTGTGTGTGTGTGTGTGTGTGTGTGTGTGTTGCACGCACTGACTATGTGGATGGAGATGTGGAGGCCAGAGCCGGAAGTCAATAGTTTTCTTTTCCTGCTCCCTGCCCTCTTGCGTGGAAGGTTACAGTTTGGGGCTAGGCTTTCTGGCCAGGGAGCTTTCGTCATCAGCCTGTCTCTACCCATCAAAGCTTGAGTTCAAGTCACATTCGGCCATGCCTAGCTTTCAGTGTCGGCGTGGAGGAGTTAAACCTTTGTCCTCATTGGCAGAGAAAGCATTCTTCTCATCGAGCAAACCCCCTTTTTAAAGATAAAGAGAAGTAGCGAGAGCCCACGATAAAGATAAGTCCTTCCCAGGAAAGTGCAGGTGATAGCAGAACCAACAACCCCCCTTTATTCCGCATACTGATATCAGGGCACATTAAAATCTCCCTGCTGAATGAGGGCGAAGGGTTTGGTATGGAAAATATTTAAGCATAACTGTAAAATCTTTTGTGTTTGACATTTAAGGACATTATGGGACATTATACGTCTCCATATGAGAAGCCACAGAGTTTAAATAAAGTCCAGTTTCCTCTGGCAGTTTATTTTGTCAGAGCCACATTGGAAAATTCAGTTTCACATGGTGTCCACATCTAAACTAAAGTGATGTTCTTAAAAAAAAAATCCACTTTTTAGTTATCTGTTTTTAAGAATATACATTTTCCTTCATTTAATTCAATTGTAACCTTTATTTTGTCTTTTAAGGTATTTTAAATGTTTTATTAATTTTATCTTATGTATATGGTTATTTGTCTGGATGGATATCTGTGCTTCATGTGTGCTCAGTGTCAGCGGAGGCCGGAAGAGAACATTGGATTCCCGGGAATGAGCCACCATGTGGGTGGTAGGGGATCAAACCAGGGTCCTCTGGAAGAGCAGCCAGTGCTCTTCACCACTGAGCCATCCCTCCAGCCCCACGAAGTAAGCCTCTTTAAAGCCCTTTCTCCTGATTACCACTGTGCAGGAAGAGCTGAACTCAACAGGGGAACAGTAGCCCCTCCCCATCTCCCCATCTCGTTGCTCCTATCTCTGCAGAAAAGACCTTTCTGACGAAAAGCGGTCATGGAAACTCAGGCACCCTCATGCAAAGGCCTCTGGGATGGCCAGAATGGCCTTTTCTCCGGGGGGCCCTCCAACCTAGCGTGGATTGGTCAAAATTCAAATTAAGACAAAAGTGAGAAGCTTTGCACGCTTCTGCTCCATTAAATCCTAGCCCTAGGACAATGTCGGCTGTGAGACGTTCCCTAGGTGAACAGTCTCAGTAGAATAAATAGAAATTGCTTACAGGTTAGGCGACAGTAGGGGACTAAGTTAAAAATACAAATGGGAAATTTTAAATGGCCTTTAGCAACAGAGAGTAGCTTGCAATGAGTCTGGTAAAACAAAACGAAGTCCTCTCTGGCAAGCTCAGCTATGCTCCTGGATGTGACAATCTCTTGGTCCCTCCTCAGTTCCTGGGCTGCGGTCATTTTTAAACTAATGCCTTTGCGTACTGTGGTACAGATTTCTCAGTGGGAACCCAAATTACTGAAAATTAGCAGGAGCCGTTCTCAAAAAAAAAAAAAAAAAAAAAAAAAGCACAAATAATAGACCATTTAAATTTAAAACCTGTTTATTGATAGACTACCAGAAAAGTACAGTGTGGTACCTAAGGCTCCCAGCTGCTTCGTTTGCTTGGCTTAGCATGGCTGTTAAGACATGGGATCTCTCTTACAGTCCAAATCATCTGTAGGTAAAACCATACATTGATGAAGCCTCGCCTGTGTGCCACTTGCTAAAGTACTTTGCATATGTTATTAATTTAGTCTCTGTATCCTCGGTGTGGTAGGAACTACAGCTTTGTCAGTTCAAGTGGAAAGCATGGGACAAGAAGAGAGGCTTGAACCCAAGGAGTCCAGATGGCGAGCCCGTGCAAAGATCCAGGATGCAAACCTCCCGAGGTCCCAAATAAGGATATTCATCCCTGGTTTTCCTGCCCTTCTAACTATCGATATGCACCATGTTCAATCTTTCTTTTAGTGAATCTTTACTTAGCTGGAAACATTAAGGAAGTTTCTGTGCCTTCAAAAATCTAAGTGATGAATAAGTCAGTTAGCAGCTTTAATACATTCAGAAATAAAGGCAAAACTAGAGAGCCTTGTACAAGACTCTGGAAGTCCTGGCCAGGCGGGGTGAGTGGTCTACGAAAGGAAGTCCAGCTAGCTGAGCTGGAGGATGGATAGGAGGACCGGAGGGCGTGCACAGGAAAAAGGCTGTGACCGACCAGCTCTTGGCTCTAAGAAGGACTGTGGAGAGCTGAGGCCGGTGAAGCAACAGGTTTCACCCTCGTTGTGCAAGGCCTAGGAGTTGTTCTGCCTGCTGCAGCCAGGCAGTGGGAAGCTGCAGGACTTCACATCAGGATGTGTCTGGGTTTGAAATGAGCTCAGGAGAAGGGGTGAGCTGAAGAGTCAATAAGGGGGCAGCTTAGGCCTCGCCTGTATGTAACATCAAGGAAGGGGACCTACAACAGAGAAGGCTTGGCTGACCAGTAAGAAATATTTGTGGATTAGGACTGACAGATCTTCGTGGGTGATGGTAGAATGAAGCGGGNGGGGAGGGGGAGTTTCCCGCCTGACCAACATGGTAGATGACAGCATCATTCCCTGTCAACTGGGTACTTCCTTCCAGTACCCCAGCAATGTCCACGAAAGCATTCTGTAACTACTGTACAGTAGAAAGTCAAGTCCTCTAGACTGTAGTAGGGACTGGCTTAAAGAAAGTGTATCTTAAAGAGGTTGTTACCAGCCAGAAGATAGACAGACAACATTTATTTATATTTATATTTAATAAATAACATTTATTATTTTCAATAATAAAGAACCCATTACTGATGCCTATGGCTAAATATATAGAATGCTTTTTTAAAAAATATTTATTTATTTATTATGTATACAATATTCTGTCTGTGTGTATGCCTGCAGGCCAGAAGAGGGCACCAGACCCCATTACAGATGGCTGTGAGCCACCATGTGGTTGCTGGGAATTGAACTCGGGACCTTTGGAAGAGCAGGCAATGCTCTTAACCTCTGAGACATCTCTCCAGCCCCATAGAATGCTTTTCTCTGCCAAGGAAGATACCTCATTTCTTTCAGAACCCCCGTTTGCGGAGAAGAGACATGGCTTGTCTAACTCTCACCAGTTTAATAAACTATCTGGGAAGCAAGACAACGCCGGCCAGGGGCAGGATGTGTGTTCTCAGCCACCACAGTTCTAATCTGTGGAAATCAACTACAGCCCAACAAAAGACAGTTCCACATATAGTGAAAAACAACAACCACGAAGTAAATTAATAAATTTCAGAATCTAGTCGTGAGAAGCAGCAATTTTGATTTCTAAAATGAAAGCTGTTTTATGGTTAAGCTCTGACCTACACTCTTAATTCCAAGACCCAATTGCAAGAAGCTTAGACTAAAGATTGTAATGCTCCGATTCTGTCACTAGAGGGTGCTTGTGTAACGGTTCTGAGTATTTCACCTTTTTACAGAGAAGGCACACTGCCTTTCTCTAATCTGGGAAATTAAAAATTAAATAAGAATCCATAGTCACACATTTTGATACTGCAATCTCTGCTTATTCTTAATTTGTAAAATAGCATAGTTATGATTTTTAAATAGTTCTGCAATCTGGGAAGGTTTTGTTTCATTTTATTGGGTTTTCTTCCCTGATTCTTGTTCTAAATCTGTTCACTTCCCTACCAGCTATGATCTGACCTACAGCATTTAGTTGCTCAGACGCTCTTAGGGAGCCAGTACAGGCAATCCTCCAATCCACTGAGCAAGTCCTGTTGACATTGGGCCATGGTGGCCCTCCTCTCTGTGATCATTAGTTTGTATAGTTTTACTCCCTCTCCAGATCATTTTCCCAACCTCAGATCTATGCGTGGTGGTGTTTTGTCTTCCTAAATCGTTTGATTGCCATCAGATATTTAAACTCCAGAAATTCGGGAGACATAGACGATCTGCTTGACTCCAAATCAATTTCCTGTGCTCCCAATCAGCCTTGGTATGTTTTGAACCATGTCAGTTTCATCTCAAAAATTGAAACAGACAGCAAGGTCTTTCACCCATCCGGACATTCGCCGTGTGAAAACACAGGCAGTTGGGTGCAAACCACCAGGCACCATTTGTAGCAACCGTTTCTGACTCTCCTTTTAGCTCCTTTCTGAAAGCCCTGAGCTTCTCCTGTGGCTGCCTTCGCTACATATACTACTGTGCATGAAGCCATGCCCGCCCCCCTATCTCCCCCTCCCCCGCTGTAACTTTCCCTGTTGCCTTGGGGAAGCCTAACTCTGACACACCACCTCCCTGGTCCAAAGCGCCACCTAGGTGTGTCTGAGCACCTTGCATTCAAAATGCACCCCAAAACTTCCATGGGTATCACCACCACTCCCAACTCCTCTGTACATTTCTGGTTTCTGCTCATGACTATTTTCTCAGATGCTCATTTTTTTTTTTAAATAAAAATATTCTTTCGTTACGCAAGTAAGTGCTGAATTCTGACAGGATCCCCGGCGTCTCTTCGGTGTGTCATTTCCTGCCCCTTTCTTGGCTGTGTCTGCTCTTTCTCATTGACAGGAACCTTCTTGCCGTTCCTCACGGGGCTCTCCCTGCCATGCCGTCCTCAGCACCCCCAGTGTTTTGCTTCTTGCAATCCTCTTCCAGTCTGTCTGTCTCACCTCCCACGTCCCTGAGAGCCCTCCTCGGCTCGCCTCTTCCTGTTGAGGGAATTGTCGCTGTAGCAGGCTATGTGCGCCATAGCTCAGTTGCATGGGGCCTTCTAACCTTACTCTCTCCATACGCCATAGTGGATGTGCTCTAACAGACACCAGGGAGCTCACTCACTGTTTTCCCATATTAGATCCTCCGCTACGACCATTTCTGTCAGAGGTATCTCTTCTGCCTTCTTACAGGCTATGCCCCCTAGAAGTTCATCTCAAACACTCCTGACGCAGCCAAGCCCTCCTTACTTCCACTAACCCATAGTTCATTTCTCTTTTGGGTCCCATCCAGTATCCTTTATTTGTATTTCTCTTTCTTTGTTTATATGTATTATAACTTCAAAAGTATTTTTGGTCTCCCTTACTATGTTTTGACTCGAGAGCTTGTGGTTTCTGCATAATTTGATTTGTCAACTATGTAGCGAGTGTAGAATAGAAACTATCGTGTTTAAAACACAGGCGGAGGGGAGCAGAGAGGCTCAGATCTTCCATTTGCCAGCCGGGTGCTAGTTTGCAGCTGTTGGCGTGTTATCATCCCGAACGTGCCGGCCTCCCGCTGCATTGCCAGTGTTAACGGAGCTAATGTACACAGAGACCCATCGCACGACTTCTCGGCTCGTCTTCATTTTCCTCTCACTGTCCAAACTGGGCCTCCAAGAAATCTCAGAGAGTGCCTAGCTAAGGACAAGGGTGGAAACCCCGACGTTAGCGAGGCGTCAGAGAAGAGTAGCTACTGATGCATGTGTCTGCAGCTTTGAAACCTGCCTTCACATGGTGCTTGGAACCAGGCAGGTGCTTCCTTATTATGGGGTACCCTCACATGATCGTGGGTGAAGCGCCATGTTTGGCGTGAAGATGGAGGACAGAAGGGGTAGGCCAGACAGGGAGGGGAACTTGTTGCCATCAGCTTCCCTGTTGCTGATTCATAGGGTGCCAGCAAATTAACCTAATTTCGTGATGGTGGCCAATGCGGTTTCTCAAACCCTCAGCCGAGCGCTTGCTGAAGGCAGTCGTTAGCCGATTACGACAGCAGATGCCAAAGCCCGGAAAGCTCATTGCTGCAAACCCAGTTTTGACTGGACCCCGGCAAGGACTGATGAAGCAGGAGACAGAGCATATTTAGCTCGGTGGGACCAACTGGGTGTCACTGTTACCGCTGTAGTAGGCTCAGTCTGCACATTCCCATTAAAAAATTTTTCCTTGGGTACTTTAAGAGGAAAAAAAAAAGAGTATATTAAAAACAAAAAGTAATGGGATTCCCAGACAGAAATCTGTGTTTAAATGGTATTAAAGCTGCGGTTCAAATGAACAAAAGCCAGGAAATCCAGTGTTACCCTTTATCCAGACTGTTGTACCATTTTTTTCCAATGCACAGTGCGCCTATGGGCAGGCAGCCCTCCCTTTGAGTTTCCTGGCTCTGGCGACTCAAATCCACAAGTCAGTTTGAATTATAGGACTCTGGGCCTGCCGTTTAATGGGACTTTATGCCCCGAGGACACATGCTCTCTTGCCAAAGCTTTTAGATGGAGACACCGCAAAGCCAGCAATCATGAGCTGGGCGCTGTTTTTCTTTGGAGTTCACAGCTCCCGCCGTCCTCCCACGCAGGAGGGTTACTGGAACAGGTGGGTTGCTGACAGTGATGAACTTGTGCGTGACTCGTGCGTCATTATTGAAATTCATCTGCTCTGCTTCTTTTTCTGTGTTCACCAGGCACGGCGACGACCTGATTGTCACTCCGTTTGCCCAGGTATGTCCGCATCGTGCTCGTCCCCACCCTGTCGCCTGTGTGGGTTTTTAAATGCAGTCCTTTGACCCTAACCAGTTTGGAAACCTTGTCCTTGCAGGTTCTCGCCAGCTTGCGAAGTGTAAGAAACAACTTCACTCTGCTGACGAACCTCCACGGAGCTCCCAACAAGTAAGCCGGATTACAGTTCCCTTCCAACAGAAGCCCCGAACACAGACGAACACTGAGCACAAACACTGCCTAGAAATCGGCCCTACACGTTAAACCTCCGTACACAAAGCATTTGAAAATAGAAAGTTTAAGGGCCACGAGGTTCACTTGTGTTTCAAAGACTAACATAGCCTCAGAGGGTGAGAGAGTCCATGACCTTGGGAGAAGTTAGGAGAGGGCCGCAAGCCCACTCACTCAGTCTATTTTATAGACGGAAAACTCGAGCCCTCAGGGACAAAGCCACTAGCTTATGAATGCACTCACTGTAGGTTAAAGAAACTTTGGATCTAAGTCGGGCAGTGGTGGCGCACGCCTTTAATCCCAGCACTCAGGAGGCAGAGGCAGGCAGATCTCTGTGAGTTCGAGGGCTGCCTGGTCTACAAGAGCTAGTTCCAGGACAGGCTCCAAAGCTACATAGAGAAACCCTACCTGGAAAAAAAAAAAAAAGAAAAGAAAAGAAAAAGGAAGAAACTTTGGCTCTAAGGCTTGACTCTCTAGGTTTTTCCGTCGCAGTCAATATCTATATCCAAAGTCTTCATGAAGCTATCCGTCTGTCATCTGCTTGGCTTCCTCCGGAGTCTGATAGTGCAGATGATGCACAGAGACGGTAAAGCCTAGTTTAAACACGCTTTCCTCTCACGGTCCTGTAGTTAGCATTTACCCATCCTTTTGAGAGCCAGTTACCTACTCCTAGAGTATGGGAGCATCACGGTCTCTCACCAACTCTTTTGTGCGCTCCCACCAGAGTGTGTTTTCTTCCACGCTGTTTGTGTGACCGTATCATTCTCTTGCCTGGGCACTGCAGTGGACCACTCTTTACGAGCAAGTATAGATGCTTGTGCATTGTGTCTGAGATGCCTCGCAGTCCAGTAAGGTAACGGGATGGAAAGTCAGTTGTATTGTATTTAGAGCAGGTAAGAGGGGCACATACCTAATCTAAAATTCCGACTCTTTGAGCCCTGATATGATGTCAAGAATGAAAAGATCCACAGCTGACCTCGGGTGACAGGTTGTATCTAGCTTAATTAGTACCTACTGTGTACAATTACCATCAAGTCATTTGTGAGAAGCGCATATGAAACACACCAGTTTTCTGTTCAGCCTTGATTCTCATCCCCGAGAGTTCTCACCATGTAAAAGAAGATATTCCAGAATCTGAAACATAAACAGAAAGCAAATCGCAAATCTTCAACACTCAGACAATACACAGAACCCAAAGAACGTGGTTTGGAGATTTTCTTCCTGTTTATTCATTTATTAATCCACCCCACCAGTATTTATTTCATACACACTAGTCAGCCATTCCTGCACGTCCGTAATTACACAAAAACGTCCTGGCCATTCATTTTACGCTAAGCACTGATGACCTCATAGTGGTCCACACAGACAAGGTCCCTGCCCTTTCACAGCTTACGTTCTAACAGGAAGTGGGGGGTGATTAATCAGTGAGCAGTCAGATCATGTCTCCAGCCACCCAGGCTTAACGTTCAACAACCGAGGTCGGCAGTTTTCTGTCTACCCCTCTCCACCCTGATCACGGACTCTCTCTGCCTGAGCTGTCTCCTCCCTGCCAGTGTCTGCGTGGCCAAACTCTGACTTCTTTTTTGATGCGTGGTCTCCATCTGACCTGACAGCATGCTCATAACCTTCCACACTGTCTTGATGGGGTTTTGTCCATCACCAGACTGTGGTAGAATGTCTGGCACATGTTTTATGTCTCCTCATGAATATCTCATGTGTATGTGTGTGGATGTGTGTTTCTGAATAGAGAGCTATTACGAGATAGATCGCTAATGATTTAGAAAATTCCTGCCAAGTTTAGAAATTTCCTTACCCTTGCCTACTGTTCTCCGTATAATTGGTTTCTGAAACTATATGTGTTGACATCGCATAGTTCTCCTGCTTGGAAATCATATGCACAGGCAAGATAATTATCTTCTTTGGGTTTCAGTTTCCTAAACTTTCAAATAAGATTATTATGAGGATTAAATGATTTAATATTCATAAAGCACTCAAAGTGACATATGGTATGGTAACTGTGAACTAATATAACTGAAAACTAGTCTTATTGAACCTAGGGGAATTTTTTTATCTATTATCTCTGCAATGCTCGCCACAAGCAATAGTTGTGACAGAGATAATCACTTCCATTTTATGGATAAGGAATCAAAGCTGGGTAAGATTAAATGACCTGAATGTGAACACCTGCACAGCTTCTAGTGAGCATCTGTTGTCCTTGAACCCAATATCCCAACTCTCACTGCTGTGATCCTCTTATTCAGGACACCAGTAAGTCCTCCGGGTGCAGAAAAAAAACCCTGGATGGCTTGAGCAGTTATGTAGGAACAGCTTCTGAAACAGGATGGTCAAAGAAGCTAAGAGCAAACATTAAGCCAATCTCTTTCAGAAGGAAGCACCGAGTCAGAACGTCACAGGTGGAGACAGGGAGGAAGAGGAGTAAAGATACCCGGAACCAAACCAATATGCCACACAGACCCAAGGAGCGGGTACACACAGTGTTCTCAGTGCGGTTTGTTAGCATGAGTGTGGGTAGTTCTGGAGTCAGCCTAGCTCTGCTGATAGATACACTGATGACCCTTTCTCAAGACCTGGGTCTTCAGATAGCCCTGGATGTTCCGGATCACACACAGTTCCCGGGAGCAAGTATCGTGAGACCCTAAATGTCATAGACAGAATGGTCCTAGAGCCATTATCATTCTCAGACAGAGGACCACCTCTCCAATAGTGACCCACTGTGTCAGTTTGTCCGAGACAATGTGGGATTGTGTCTCCAGGAGTTAGTCATCTGCATTCGCTGACCCCGAAGACCCACATCTGTAATTTATAGAGTTTGTCTTGCTATTTATCTCGAGGCTTTTGGTGGTTTAATTTTGAGATAGGTTGTTCTTCTACGACCCTGGCTGACCTGGAATTCACCACCCTACTACGTGACTCAGGCTGGTCTCAAACTCATGTCAATCCTTTTTTCCTGGTGTGAACTCCTATCCACGCTTGATCATTTAAAGTATCTCGTTATAATCAACATCAAAGGACCAAAATATAAGGAAAGGCAGATCCTCGAGAACTTTCCCCATGGGAGCTGAGGGCATCTCTGTGTCCGATTTAAGCCACCAATGGAGTAGCGTGGCCGCAGGAGGCTAGAGAGCTGCAGGTCCATTGATCTTCTCCACTCTATTGCTAGGTAGTCAGTACCCACCAACAAAGAGCAGGAAGTGAAGATAAGATTGTCTACCAGGGATGCACATAGCCTAACAAGAGCATCCCCCATCCCACCCACATGCCTTAGCTTACGCTAACAATTGAAGCTGTAAGATCCATGGAATTTAGAAGCTGCTTTCTGGGATATTTAACGTGGGTTCCAGGGTGCCACTCCCTGTCTTGAATGTAGCATTTAAGCAGTAATTATGTCCTTGGAGTGGTTTTCATGAGACATCTGGCTAGTGTGGTTTATTATGTGAAAAGGAACTCCCACATAGAACTATACTTCTCCTAAGTTACGGTTTCTTTTATCTTTTGGCTCTTTGCTCTGTATAAAGCAGCCCATTGTCTGCCAGAGCTCTGCCACCCAAAGGGTGAAAATCTTAAAGTTTCTGCTGAGGAGGTTTCCTTGCACCTTAATGAAACGAGGGATCAGACCTGTGTTTCTTGGCTGCAAATTAAACCCTACACTTCCGTTGTCCCAGGAGTTAATTTTGAAGGCTGCAGCTTTCCATTTGGGGTTGTGTAATTCAGAAACAATTCCCTGAAGCCCTTGATGGCTTCCAAAAGACCAGCCGTGTCACTGAGTGTCCTCACCACTCAGTAGCCGAGATGGCCGCTTCCATCATCCGTCAGCAATCAGGGACACACGTGACGATCAGAGAATTGCGTCATCTTTGCGTTCACAGTTCTTCAAAGGCAGAATGTACGCGTTCTCTGAAAAAAAAATATAATAACCATCTTCTTTAGTGTATATCTGGAATGTCTTTCAGAGCTTTATATATTTTGGCATGGGACTTAAATTAGCTGAGAATCATAAAATCTTGAACACTCAGATATGGAAAATACCTAGCCAAATTTCCTCCGAGTAAGTGAGGAAATGTATGGGAGCCCCTCACACAGGACCTCACACACTGTAAATCATCAGAAATAGAAGTTACTGCCTGCTCTCCTCAAGTAAGAAAGAACCTGAGGTCGGGTGAGTTGCCAGGGCCGACATACGTGGAAGGTGCCAGAGTCAGGACTGGGATTAAGATTCCTGGCTTCTATTGTGGCTCAGTTCTCTCTCTCTCCACCACACAATTGAGGCTGAAAAGCATTAACTGCTGTGGCCACACCACCTTCCCCACGCCTAGCAACATCTTCAGCAGCCAGGTAAGGAACTTCCTCCCGTTCTTTCCTGAGTTAGAGACAGCGGGAAACCAGGCAGCACATAGCCTTTGTTTTCCCCCTGAGCTCACCAGTTTCTGGCTGCCAGGCTCATGTCTTACCAACAATAATGTGGCTTCTGGGAGGCATCCAGTCATTAAAGTGTGCTGAACCTGCTTCTTGGACCACTTATCAAGAAGTGGTGATACACTGAATAAACCCAGCCCTTGCACCTACACAGGGAAGCTTATCTGAAGTAGCAACCTTAAGTAAAGGCCATACTTTCTTCACAAAGTAACTTCCAAGACAAAAGAATTTACATAATGTGTAAATTCAGAGAAATAGTGGAGAAAAAAATGGATGATATGAGTAACCATGCTACTCAGAAAGATGTTTCTGACATTTAAGAAGACCTGGTTCACGGTCTTCTTTCACAAAAGCCTCCCAGAGAACTTGGGAAGATACGCACAATTCAAAGTCCAGTAGTGCTGTGAACCCAGTGGGCAGGCAGTGAAATGCCATGCTGGACTGCAGGGCTGCAACTAGGAGTGAGACTCGGTCTTTCCTTACCTGCCTTACACTGTGCTGAAGAGAGAGATGGGAAGATGGGGGTTGCATTGCAGTATGATGATAAAATGTAGGAAACTCCATGGCACGGGTGAGGGCCACTCACACCAGAGTATGGGCAGGACTGCCTGACCACAGTCCCAAGTTACACAAACGAGTTAGCTGCCCAGCCAGATGTCTACAAAGTCAGAGCAATGTAACAGAGCATGCATAGTGGGCAGCCCAAGGGTCAAGACTGCATATTAATAGATACACACTAACACATCCAGAGAGTGTGTTGGTATCTTCTTCATAATACTTCCTTACCAATGACTGGTTCCATCAATAGTCCACCAGTAGTTCGGGAATTCCTACTCCTCGCCAGAAAGTTGATGGGTCCCACAGAAGATTAAAAAAAGAGGGAGAGGTCAAACTGGATCCTACTGTGAGCAGGTTGTGGGGTCAGGGGTGGAGATAAGGTATACAGGTACGAATTGCCACACGAAGAAAAAGAATCTCTGGTCTAGATAGAGCACCATGGCATCATGAGTGACTAGAGGAGGGACCATTTTGAATTAGGAATAAAATTTCCTTTTGAAGGAGATTTGTAATCTTCAAAGGTAGGTGATGTTTAGTATGGGGAGAGTTTCTCCAACAGAAGAATGGCCTGAGCATCCATAAGAAAGGAGCAGAATGAGGTCAAAGCAAAAGAAGAGACCGACCTTGACCTCAGCAAAATGTACATCAATTTTTTATTCATCTGTTCATCCAGCATTCCATAGATAAGCGTTACTGAGTACTTGGCATATAAAAACTTTCTCGGGTACCATCCTAGGACCCAGCAGGGAGCAAGCCTTCCCTTGCCTACATAAAATTTACCTTTGATCTAGGGAGTTATATATCAAACCCTAATTAGACAGCTCCTATTTTAATTGCAATTTTGGAGTTCGACAAGGGAGAAGTATGAAACTTGAGAGAACACACAGCCAGCCTGTGGTCTGAGATGAACTGTCAGACCGAGGAAGGGGCTAGTGATAATCTAGAGAACTATGATAAGGATGAGCCGCGAAAAGCTTTGCAGGGCGGGCTGAGGAGTTTGGAATTGACCATTCAATGTCATGGACAAACAAAACAACCAAACCAAACTAAAACAGCCTTTGGTAGTAGTGCAGGGGTGTTCAGGAAATGAGATAGAGAAAGGGGCTGGCACTTCCAGGTCAGAACCAGCCGGCTGTGAATCCTGGCCTCCCAGTTAGAAAGCATCATGTGTCCTATAGTGTGTATCTTCATCTCCTGGTCCCTAAAGACAAATGATAACACTCCCGGTAGAAGAACTAAGAAGGGACAAGCATAGCATCCAGCAGAGAACAACAATCATGGCACGAGGACTTCCCACCCAGTCACAGATGGAGATTAGATACCAAAGAGAACTTGACTCTAGATCACCCTGTGGATCTGTTGATGGCGGCTGTGGACTCTGTCCAAGAACTTGCAGTTATATAGAGAGAGCTGCATGAAAGGTCTATCTCAGGGGAATGTAATGTCACTGCCGGGGCTGACCAATAGGTAGGGTCTTCCTCAGCAACAGCCTTGCACGCCTTTCTCCATCACTTAGATTAGACTTCTTCCTCAGACCTGCCTGTGCATGGGAATGCAAAGAGGACTTTAAGCTGCAGATCCCTAGGCCCTCCACCAGACATATGGAAATGGACTCTTCTCGGGTGGGGAACGTATTTCTTAATCACCTCCCCAAATGGGTCTGAGGTTCATTTGTGTTATCAGAGCTTGTGAGCATCAATGCCTGGGCCCAGGGTGAGTAGCATGCCGCCCATTCATAGCACAGCAGTTCAAGAGTCAAATGAGAGTAAGAAGCAGAAAAGGGAGATTTATTCAGTGTCGCAACACTAGGAAGAGAAACAAAGCAGTTCATGCGCATCCTCCTCCCTAATACCCACATGAGTCTATCTTCAGGCTCCTGACAGGAATATTAGGTTTAAATAGAGGGCAAGAGGTGCCCATAACTAACAAGTTCTAATCAAGCTGTGGTCCTGCCCATTATTGGTCCACCATCGTCATCTCAGCTCTAGTTCTGTCTTGTAAGGTGGTCTGACCAGTTCTTGGCACTGTGTGGATCTCTTCAGAGAGACAAGCTCACTCGCTGGTTGGGTCAGCCATTTCTCTCTTCCAGCATGAGACCTCTGGGAAAACTCTCGCAATTTCTTAGGGTCCATTGTCTCAGTAAATCTGATAACCAAAGGGAGGTTTCTTTAGATATCTCCCTTTAGGATACCTTCACTAATGTCAGGACAGTTGACTGGCCTCCTCTTGATCAGCAACATCCTCTTGCTCCTCAGTGGGGTAGACTCTTACTATCAGGGCTTTTGAGGGGGGCTTCTCTGTGAGACCATCAGTGCCAGCAGCCTCTGGGAAATGCAGCCTGTCAGAAACGCAGATGCATCAGTCCACTGCAGACCACTGCATGGGACCCCAGAGGCAGGGTTGACTGCAGACTCCTGCATGGGACCCAAAGGGCAGGGCTGCTTTAGGTCTACTAAATCAGAAGACCAGAAGCAGCCTGGATTAAAATATTCTAATGTGCCTTGCAGGTTACTCTGCTGTACTCTGAAGTGGGAGGTCACTGCTCCATCCTCTTCCCGATGGAGAAATATTTGGGGGAAACATTTTAACTTCATCCTCTAGCCCTCACCCACTCCTGCGTGGGCAAGCACACACACACATACACACACACACACACACACACACACACACACCACACATCCACATCTTTGCACACAGATATACCATACATACAGATAGGAGAAGTTGCATTAGCAACGGAATGTGTGTTTGCTTGTTTCATTTGCCTCTTGCCGTAAGGATTTTATGGAGAATGGAAGCCTCATTCCGCCAGGAAAGCCAGTGTCTCTATTAAGAAACCCCAATCACTGTGGCCAATTGCCGTGTGTGGCATTTGGCAAATGACTTGTCCTCTCAAACATCTCAGTTTTCTGAGGTGAAAAGATTGCGGGTTTTGAACTGATAAATCTCCAAGGGTTTCTCTGGCTGTGACTTTCTGTCCTTAATGGGGATTCATGCTAACATCTGGAGTGAGGCCTCAGCAAGTGTCTCCTTTGCTGAGAGACTCCCCTGACAGAAAACCCGAAATGGAGGGGCTGGCAAGGGATCTGAGGTAAACAACATCCTTCCTGGCGAGTTGCCGCATCCTGATGCTGCGCTGAGGGAAATTCCAGGCCATCTGGATGTGAGAGAACTGCAATCACCTACCCGTGTTCCAGGAGCCTGCCTTCCGGAGATAGCCTTATGTCACTGGGTTACTCATTATACCTTGCAAATCTCCCCAGGGGTCGGGGATCATGGAAGGGGCGAGGGCTCTTCAGTGCATACTCAGCCTCTCTTTCTGCTTTTCCACAGGAGGTCGCCAGCTGCTAGCCAGGCTCCAGTCTCCAGAGTCAGCCTGCAAGGTAGGCCAATGCCAGGAGACCCATCTCCTTCTTCCAAAGCAATAACTGTGTTTCCTATTCAGACCTGTTATTTGAATAACAGCATTCATAGGCACACTCTAACCCTCAGCAGCGTGTCTCTTGGTGACTTTTTTTTTTTTCAAAGATGCATTGGGCCTTCACCCTAAGTGAAGCCAAACTAAAAATACTTCGAGACAAAGTGCTCCCTGTATGCCTAGGCCTTCACAATTAAATGTGCGGTCCTGCTGTTTCCGGGAGAGAAGGAGGCAGGCCTATGTCAAGAGTACAACTTGACCTCAGCTTGCTGACCTCAGTGAACTCTAGGAGTGCTAACCTCAAACACTCCCCCACAGGGTGCCCACATTAGCTCAAGATCCCCAAGGCTCATTAATGGTCCCCCCACCACCACCACCTTGCATCAGCTAGAGCTACAGCTCGCTCCACATCCCAACCAGGTGGGAAACCAAAGGTTCTTTCCCAGTCCCGAAGCGTTTCTCTTGGAGGTCACCCAGCTTGGTTCTTCTCATCTTTTAATACTGTGCATCAGCCCATCTTGAAATCTGCTGAGAGGAAGGCTTATTGGGAAGGGGACAACACGGAACACATGTTTGTCATATCACATGCAACCACTTGGGTGACCTCTTTGCAGTCCACGAGTTCTGCTCCCTTGAGCCTGCCTCGTTCATACAGCAGGGAAGTGCAGCTAAACCCCGTAGAAAACTAAGATGCTCTCACCATGGTCACCTGGCATCTACCAGCGCTAGTCCCCCCCCCCCCTCACACACACTCAGATTCTTCCCCTTTGGATGTTATGCTCTCTCCACTATTACGATGGCCCTAAGTATCTCAGGAGTGTTACAAATGACGAACTTCTGAACGAAGGAACAAAGGCAGTGGATTCCATTTGCTCATTGACTTCTGAAGTATTTGTGGGTATACACTTTTAAAACTTTTAGAAGAAAAAAGATGGAGAACAAAAAGGAAAAAAAATGAAAGAAAGCCGTGAAGGCAGGTGAGTATACCCCAGAGCCCTGTGATATGAGCGAGAAAGCGGTAAACAGTGTTCTGCCCACAGACTTCAAAACCTCAGCGGGCTGATGGGACACTTCCGTTAGGTATAAAAAGAAACAGAGCAGGGTCTTAGTGTGTGGCTGAGCTGGATACTGGGAGATCAAAGGAGCTGTTTGGAACCGCCTGTTGTTTCATCTTATTGGCCTACGCACGAGGCATCCTTGCTGGTTTTGTTTGCCAATTCTGCCAGTGTGTTTCCGACACCAATTTGGGGATTTAGAGTGCATTTTCTTTCTCTTGTAATAAATACAGACACATAGCAGAAGGGTATAGGCTGCTTACGGTTCTATAAATGAACTCATTAGCCAACACACTGTTTGAAAGATGTTTTATGATTATTGGCGCATTGGCTCCAGCTTGGCAACTGAAGCTTTCTTAAATGCTTTTGAAACAATGGAGCAAAGAAGTGACAATATACTTAAGGCAATTTGTTTTTGTCTGTCTTTGTGGCAAACTACAACAATCCTGGGTTTTCTTTGGGAAGAGACTGTGGTGGTACCAATTATTACATAATTACTAGTTTCAAAATCTTCCCAACGGCTAACCACAGTCAGAAGAAGAGGGAGGAGGCACACATCCCGTGTTTTGTTCTTATTATCAGCTTCAATAAGTCGGGCAGATTTTTCCTGTTATTTTAATATTTATCAGCATATGACAAAGAGGTGTATTTAAATAGAAGCTCGAACGCGGAATGAAAAAATACATGGCTTCGAGCAAAAGCATGGAGCGCTGGGGGCGTGCTTTAAAACATTAGGTTTTTCATGAAAAGAAAACCAGGCGTTTATTTAGAAGTACTGAATTTGAACTCATCTATTTTGATAGAAGTATGAGAAGTAAGAAGTACAAGGCGATAGTTTGAGTGCGTTCAGCAACAACGCACGTTGTCAGCAGAGCCTGACTGACTTCCATTGTGTGTAGCAGGTAGAAGGCAGCTTTGGAAAGATGGCTTCTTCTTCTTCCCCTTTCTCCCTTCTCCTGATTTTTCTTCTCCCCCCTGCCTCTTCTCCCTGCTAGTTTTCCTTCTCTTCCTCTTCTACCCTTTTTTCTTCTGCTGCTTCTTCATTCATATCAATGAAGAGTGACTGTCTATGAAAGTGAATTCTCCCAACACAGATGAGATTCCTACACTCACTGTGATTGTTGCTGAACAATCGGAACTCTGGGTGAGGAGATCTCTCAGCGTTGAGACACCTTTGCTCCTGCTGTTGGGCCAAGGCGATTCTCAGCCCTTGGGGCTCAACAGAAAAGTCCTGTCGTTTTGATTTTGCATGATTGCTCTTGTTTTGTGCATGGCAACACTCTTAATTCCCAAATGAACTGGTTCCTAGGCACTGTACCTTTTCCAGTGGGAATCTGGGCTCCTGAAGGCAGAGGCTGAACCTTTCTCTTCTCTTTGAGGTCAGAATGTGGTAAACTATTTCTGCATAGTAGGAGCACAGTAAATATCAAATTAGCCAGAACCATGTAAAAGTTGGATTTGGAAGGAAAATGCCCATAGAGGTAGTAATGAGCCGGTATCTCTGTGTCTAGGGAAAGTATTCATTTCTGCTTTGTTTTGTTTCCAAAGTCTGTGTTGTTTACTAGAATTAGAAGGGGCTGGGGTGTCTCCATGCAGGTCTTGAATAGAAAGAGTAAAGCCTACGAAGGTGACATTCTGCCGACGAAGTGGGGAAGCCCCCAAACGATAATGGGCGCTAAACCCAGAATGAGCAGTTCTGAAGCCTGTGCACACAGGTTGGGGAGGTCGCAGTAGATCCTCATGAGTGTGCTGAAAATCCGAAGGCTGAGGTTAATGAGCAGCTCAACTTAAACAACATAATCACTTTCTTTTGAATGCATGAATTCTTGGCTTTTCCTGTATAGGATTCAAACAGAAAGGGGAAAAAATAGAATAAAAAAGGGGGAAAAAGTCTGAAACAAGGCAGGAACTCATGTCATTTCACCTGGACATATTCAAAATGGAAGACTGCAAACGTACCAGATAATTGGAAAAACAAATCAGTGTGCATTCCTAAGTGCGATTACGTGAAGACTGTCTCACTTTCTGCACGCATCTCATCTGTGTCTGTGACTATGTCACTAAAGAACCTACTGAGGAGATAAATGACTAAGGGGCCACTCACTGCCTTTGCAGAAGGATTTTAAAGGATGAGAGAAATGTTGCTTTTAATATCTCTCACGTCTGAGTCACACAAAATGACTCGATTTACACCAAGATGGATCTTCTACAGTGGTGGGTAGCAGCCAGAGTGATGTGTGGAGTAGGGTGCCCTATGATAATATTTCTTCTAAAATGTACCACTGGCTTTAAAAGTTGTGAATGTCGCCCTTTGGAACAGACCTTATGTTTTTAAAGTAACCCAGAAGTTGATGGATCATGTGAAATGGCCACCAACTATGTCAACGCCATCACCGAAGAGCTAACTGCCTGGAGGTCCCCAGGCCAGACCGCCACAGACACAGCGTCTGCCTCAGCCTGGGTGTCCACAGCATTAACTGTGGTGAGTTTTCAACAGGAGTCAATTAAAATTTATTTCAAGGCAAAGATTGTATTTGGAGAGCTAGGACGAGAAAGCGTAAGTCTTCCAGTAAAGCGTGAAATGTGCTGACCTCTCCGAGCAACAGCCTTAATTAAGGTTCTTCCCAGGCTCTGGAGAGCCCAAGTCTTCTACTAGGCTTCAGGGTCACACGGGAAGGGATGACGCTACCAGTTGATAAGGCCAAGAAGAGGCTTCCTCTCAGGGAACCTATTTCTCCACATGACTCCTCATGTGTCTTCACTTTGCTTTGACTGTTTCTGAGATCTACGTAATTGTGGCAGAGGCTCATTTTGTTCAAGAAATAGAAAAGGGGCTCGAGACCTGATCCACTCAGACGGTCAAGGCTGTGCTAAAATTCACAGGGTCTAGGATGCGAGAAGACTGATACAGGCAGGCAGCGGTCCCTCTGAGGACCTCTGGCTGAGGACAACTATGGCTTGAAAGCTGATTCCATCCGTGTCGGATGACGAGAAAGGAAGGCCAGCACAAACCCAACCTTTGCTTGGTGTCTGCACTGAGCAAGAAGCGTCAGGCAGGATTACCATGTGAGCAAACAGAAACAAGATCAATCATCTTATCAAAGGTTCTGACCACTCAGAATAAAGGCAATCCTGGAGGAAAATGCAAAAAGAAAAGGGGAAAATGAAAAAGAACAGGCATTTTCTTCAGTGTTCGGAAAGATGGGCGTGGCCTGAATCTCTGGGACAATCTGCTTAACTCCACACTGTGAGTGTGTAAAGAGCTTACACACAAAACAAAACCACAGAATATAACTGCACAGGAAAACTGCACAGTTCTCGGCTGCGTTCCCTAAATGGTTTGAAAGAACCTCTTTTGTCTAAAATAGACATCCTGTAAAAGTTTGCCCCAAAACACAAACACTGAGCTGTCTGCACTGATTTGCAATTATTTCATACATGTCTAAAATTAAGTACAGGTTAACTACAAAATCATTAGTATGTCAGCTAACGTGTGAATGGCTAAAATGTTTCTTCCGAGCAAACAGAGCCAAAAATAATGTCTTGCTTATTAATGGCTGCTTTGACTTGTGCAGAATTAATTTCTTCATCTAGCAGGAAAACTTTCTCCTCATATTAAATGGGACTGGGGGACCAGCAGCATCTAGTCTCTCAGTACTTGCAGAAAGAGCTAAGTCCATTCCTCAGGACTCCACATCGTGTTTTCACGCTGCTGAGAGACACCATCCACCCCCTCCCCCTGAAAGCTGGAATCATGCATGTTAGTAAGTATTTCAGTTATGCGATTGACGTCAATGGAGTCATTAAATAGATTGCTGGCCCTCCCAGAGGCAAATCACTGCCAGGGACCTAGATACAGACACTTTTTTTTTTTCAAAGACAACCATCAGGTTTTGCTATGAGAGAAAAGGAAAAGTTTACAGTGGAGCCGACCTGTCTCCAAACAGTTTCTTTTTGTTCTTTGCATTTTAGTTCCGGCCTTTCTTTCTCTTTGGTTACAGTAGCCTCCAAA